TAAAAAATTTGTCCCCATCTTTCTTATCAGCCCCTTTCAGCCCTGGCCAGCTGCAGTAAGGTCTCCCCAGAGCCTTCTCTGCTCCAGGCTGAATCCCCCAGCTCTCCCAGCCTGTCCTCCCAGCAGAGCTGTTCCAGCCCTCAGAGCATTGCTGTGGCCTCCTCTGGACCTTCTCATTTTGGGTTCTTCCCCATCAATATTCTGTGATTTCATACAGGGGCCAGAGTAATTAAATAATTTTCCTGATGGAGGGAAAAGGACACAGACAAGGAAGCAGCTAGGGTGTTTGAGGGTCCTGGTCCGAGGTCTGATGTTGCCCTGTTATGTGATCCCAGCAAAGTCATGTTTTCTGCTTGTGCTTCAAAAAACATTTTGTTACATCTGCCCATAGGAAACTGCAATGCCTGGAATGCGAGGGGGTAAGAAAGTGTTTTGTGATGGCAAAGCAAGCATAGAACTGCTTTGTGATCACAGCAAAGGCTACTGTCCCCACACTTCACCCCAACCCCAAACCATAAGCATAAGAAAATGCACTCCTTTTTCCCTGCAAACAACGCAGAGATGCACGAGGCATCGCCAGCAGTAGCTGGCAGGAATCCCACACTCCAAGTCCTTTACAACCAAAAGAGCTTAGCAATTAGCAAAATAACAAAAAAAAATGTCAAATGCATTTTTGATGCTCCGAAGTTGCTGAGATTTTAAACAAACAGTCTGGGCTGCTCCCACACACCGAGAGGTCTATGCACCAGCGACGTAGCAACAGCACCACCGTATGGGGATCTCCAACGCCTACAGCCCTCAGAATCTTGTCCATCTACAGTTCGCTGGACAGGCAAGATTAGCACCATCGTGGGATGAATCTGCAGCAATGCATTGATTTCATGGCTGTCAGCAAGAACATTTGTGATGTGAAGGTGAAATTTTATCTCCAAGGCTTGCCAGGTGAGCCTCTGAAATCTGAAATCCCGAATGGGAATAGCTGGATATTTGTGTCTGTGGCTGGACCCTTGTAGAAATGCTCAAGGTCAAAGAGGTTCCTTGCATATTAAACCTTTATAATGCTCACTGGTTGTACTTGTTTGCACCCACAGATCTCAAAACACTTCTCTTGTGATGCAGGAGTCACGAACCCTGTTTTCCGTTAGAGGAACAAGAGGCACAAAGAAGGGAAGGCACATGCCAAAGGTTCCTCAGCAGCCCAGTGACAGAAACCCCGAGACCCTTCTGTCTTTGCCCAATGTTCTGCTCTTAATGACGGCTCCAGTCACCATTGTTGGACTCTGAAAGATGTCTCAGGCAGCCTAGCCTTGCCTCCATGTGCTCTGAATCTTACTTGAACAGCAAACCTAGAAGTAAATCCTTGTAGTGCGAGCTAGACCGTGACATGAAACAGCGTTAAGCATCTACAGATGTAGCAGCTGGAGCCTATCTCTGCTGGCAGTCAAGGGCAGCCCTGGAGCAGCAGGCATCATGTTTCCCGCTGGTGGGCTACGG